TCTAAAGTAAGCTTTTTATAGTAAAAGTGAGCACTTTCTTAGTAAGCTATTGAAGCATTCTTGCTAATGGTCAATTTTAAAATGCCCATGGAAATTGGGAATCTCAATCACAACAATTTTAAATGGTTTCAGTAAAGAAGGAGGTGATTTAGATCAGACCTAACTTTTGGGGGGTTTTGGAAGAAAGTTCTCAAAGTATTGGGGAGGGGGGGGGGGTAAAATGACAGCAACAGTATCAAAGAGGAGATCTTTGTGCTTTGGTTATGTCGCGAAGTTATTTATTTATATAAATGCCAGGCGTTCTGATAGTTATCATTAGCCCTTTAGTTGACTTAAGGCTTCACAGAGGGAGAAGAACATCAAAGTGGAAAAAGTCGAGAGGGGGGGGGGCAGAAGAGTGCTTCAAAGACGAAGGTAGAAAAAAGGTGAGGTGAGTACTGTGGAAGTAGTCGAATATGGCATGTAGTGGGGTCATGGCAGTTTGAAATCAGAAGACAACTGCCCATTGATAAACTTTTTAGCCGTATGAATATACGTTGTCCTGGGTGCACCACGTGGAGGTAAGTCTATCGCACGCGAAATAGATATAAGGCCTCACACGTTGTAGTGAAGGGATAAGAAGAGGCACTTTGACAGCTAGACAGAATGTGACAATTTATGCGGTTTGTGTTTTTGAATCGTGCTCAATTCAAATGTTTGAAAAACCCTTTCATTTTAATGTAAAATGTGAAAAAATAAACCTACTCTCTGTCATTTATAAACCCACGAAATATAGACACATAAATAGAAAAAAAGTAACCACAAGGACACGCAATAAACGCAAATTTCTTATAGTTGATAAAAAAGCTTGCTTTCAGTTGAGAAAGCGTGACTTACGAGGATTACTATAATTTCGGCGGTATTCTTCAAGAAGCATTTGACTGATTTTCATGAAGGCCATCAAGTGCCCCGAACGCCAAGCCACACGACAATCCTTCGCATTGTCTACAGATTACAGAAGGGAGAATTTTGAGAAAAGATTCGAATGAAATTGACACATTAAACCATACCTCTACGTAGCTTAAATAACGGTTGAAAATGAATAAAAATAGGGTGTTTGTCGTCGACTTCTTTAGTATTAACCCACCAAATCCTTTTTGCCACTCTCAGGGTCTCATTCTTCCAGTACTGACACTTTTAGCAACTTTCATTTTCAACTCCCTTACCACTTGCTCTCATATGCTAAAATTACTAGTTTGTGTCCTTAAGAAAGAGCTCATCTGATCTTTGTACCGATCTTCATTTTGAGACTTCACATAATGTAGTTTAAAAGTGACAAACGTACCTTCGTGTTCCGGGTCGAATTCTGGCATTTTGGGGAGTTGATTAAAGGGTTTGAAGAGTACCTCCTGACGGGATGTCCATGCTTGCGTCATAACAACCATGAGAGTCCTCACCATCTGAACGGAATTCTTGTATGACTTGACTGTAATGCAAGCGTATTAGACTAGATTATTGTTGGAAAAAGCGTAGAACTTAAACGTCAAATCTACTAAAATCTTCCAAGTAATATTTGAAATATTTCGGGTGGCAGCAAAAAATTGTAAAATTTCATATCGAAGCACGTTCCAGTTACTTTTGAACTTATGCATGGAAAATGTTGCAATTCGTGTCTATTGTGCAAGTTATTAAATGCGTTGGAAGAGGATTTAATTGAAAATCTCAAGGGCCAGCTTACAGACCAATTAGGAGATTGTGAGAGTCAGAGGACCAATGGACAGCTAAAACTGTGGATGCATTCAAATGACTTCTTGTGCTGCTGATCACAAGTGGTCAAGTGTGGTAACATGGTCGATTCCTCTCGATCATGTTTCTCTTAATTGATTTTATCCACTTCTTCTTAAAAGATTAAGGGGTGTGCGATAGACTTACCTCCACGTGGTGCACCCTGGGCAACGTATACTCATACGGCAAGAACGTCTATAAACCGGCAGTTGACATCTCACTTCAAACTGCCATGACCCCACTGTGTTATATTCGACTATTTCCACAGTACTCACCTCATATTTTTTCCACCTTTTCTACCTTCGTCTTTGAAACACTCTTCTGTTCTCCCCCCCCCCCTCTCGACTTTTTTCACTTTGATGTTCCTTTCCCATTGTGAAGCCTGAAGTCAACTAAAGGGCTAATGATAACTATCAAAACGCCTGCCATTTGATATAAATAAATAAATCTTAAAATATTAATGAATTTTGTACTCTCACATTATAAGCCCATATCCAGTCCATATTTCTTACATTTGGTGGTCGTGTTAAGGCGTTATTTCTGCTTGTATTGAAAGACGCTTCTAAACAATAGCAAATTTCTACCTCCATCGCCACACGACTTGGTTATGTGTCAATAATTGCAAGTAGAGAATATAAATCAGACCAAGAGAAATTTTGAAAGAAAAAGAGAAATTTTTGACGAAAATAAGGAGACGTTTATTTCGCAGAATTCTTCCCCACCTCTAATCGTCACAGTTCACTTCGTCAACACAATATCCACCTGCTATTTTTGCGTCCTTTCCATTTAATTGAATTCAAAGTAACCTTATCTATTGTAACAATTTAATGTTATAATATGCTTATTCAATTTTAGCTTTGGTCCCTTTTATTGTCTCCCTCTCTCTCACACACACTCTCTTTAATTCAATAAAAATTTTTAAATAACCAAATGTCCCGTCCTATGTGTTATTATAAATGAATAATGGCATAATTAAAATCAATTTGTAAACTTACAAATGGCGACAACTAAATCGGTCGACGCCTCTCGGACACACTGTGATGGATGGCTGAGCATTGTCTCACAACATGAAGCGATTTGAAGCCAATCAACCGAACAGTGAGTCCTATTTGGCATCTATGAAAAGTAAATGTGAAGGTGATACCGCAAAATGGTGGACATAATTTTGTTACTGTGACGTCTTAGTCAAACTATCATTCTCCATCTCCCCCTTTGTCACTATCAAAGATATCATTTATTTACCTATCACCTATCAAAGAAATAGATCTTGATTACTGAACTCTGAAGCACTAGGTCAAAATGCAGCAAATTGTCTCCGTCAGGTAACAAATAGCCGCAAATTTCCAAATTTTTGATGCCCCGATTTGTATATGCTCTTTTTATGCCACTTACTCACTCCCTTCTTTGTAATGAAGCGTGATCTAAATATGTGTCCAATAAGGAACAGCCTATAGCTGCGACAATTCTGCGGATAAAATTAAGTAAATTCCACTGATTTAGCAAGGATCATGAAGCTGAGTATATTTGCCTATGTCAGAGATCCATACTGTCTGCTTGATGATGTGCCTGTGTGCTTTCATTCGAGCTAGTGAGATAGTGGTCTTACTTTCAGTTCTATGATGGCGACGCTATTTCAGGTTCAAAGATAGCAAACACTTGATCTGTTACGAATGATAATAATAATAATAATAAAAGAATAGCTCCCAAGTCACCTCTATTCTCTACACAATTCGATAATTTATCGACTCTTATTGAACCTGAAATTATTTAAAAGTGTTAATCCACCCACCCACCCCCTCTCCCCTCCTTGTAACTTTGTGATTTCAAGCTATCTTAGTGATTGAAAGTAGGCATTGCTTTTTGGTAATAAATGAAATTATTTCCAATAGATGTGCATTATCGAATATCGGCAAATGAGATTTCAATTCTTTACGAGTGATTAAGAGCCCCCCCCCTCCTCATTAGAGGTCTACTCTTTGACAATCAAAGCATTTACTTTAATTAGCTCTTTTGCAGGAACTTTTTTATCGATAGCTATTTTTCCTTGGATCTTGAGTCCAATCAGAATCCGGGCATACGTCAAAAGAAGCGGATTTTTGCAACCTCTGTGAAAGATCCAATGACTATTGACCTTAGAATGCTATTCGAATGAGGACAATGCTTGGCGGGCTGACTCGCATAAATGTTAACAATGAGGTGCTTCTCAAACTCACACAACTCCTCTTCAGTACGCGGATTAGCTCATAGTTAACTGCAGATTGTGTGTGCAATTCTTTATGAGCAAAAGAAAATCTTTGGCATTGGACATAATCGTCATAACATTTTCACAAATAGTTGTGTAAATAGTCTCAGTTACAATTTTCCCATTGTCTGACAAGTCGCCATTCAGTCGGTAAATAATCTAGTGTATTCAAATGTAAACAAGCGACCTGATATTAGGACAGTGAAAGATCAATATCGATTTCTGCGACTAATGCACGAGCTTATTAACTAGGGAGAAAAGAAAACACCCTTCATCTTCTCTCATTTCGATAAGTAAATACTGTGGTCATTAATTAGACCCTTTTTAAAGTGAAATTTTACTTGTCCTCTTGCACGAGATATTATTATTATTGGATCTGATAACTTGAGTTACAGAATCCTACTCTTGGCCATTGAATCTCTATTACCTTTTCCCTATTCATCTGAATGGGCCGTTTTTAACTTCATCGAAAGGAAGAACGTCAAACGAACTTCGCAAATTGTTGGCTTTTTATCATCATCCATTGTACCTATCGATTTTAAGCTGGATGAAAAATTTATAAGATATTGATGGAGTATTAAGCATGCGTATCTTGTGCATTATTTGTAATACTATATTTCAGAATTCGTTAGTCTTCTGACTTTGTTATCATAATTGATAAATTAGTTAATTTTTCCTAATGTCTCGACACTATGCTCTTAATTGTAAGAGGTGGGTATCCGCGTAGGCACCAATATATTGGTATATGACACTTGGCAAACAATTATTCATTCATATGTTTGGCTATTTGAAGCCTTCGTCTCTTGAATTTGGGGGGGGGGGGGGGGGGGGGGGGGGGGGGGAA